TTTTTTTTTTTTTTTTGGAATGGTATGCAAAAATCACTCCTGCAACTTAAAAGATGCCATTGAATTATCTGTCCCAAGATAGCACACGAATATCTGACAAGCAGTTTGTTCATACAAAACATCAAAAGAACAGGGTATCTGCTTGTAAACAAAAACATTTTATTCTAGAGTATACTTTCCTATACTAATAGCACACTTGAATAAACTTATTTTTCGTAAGGGTGTGGAAGGATGCACATGTTTAATTTGACGGTACTTCTGATGAACATGCAACTGCTAACATCGCACACAACACCAGGAATATTCTTCCGATAACAACATCCCCTGTTCAGAATTCTTCATTCTTCATCGTTTTCCCCCCTGTAAATATGTTTAGCTCCCGAACGTTAATTAAATATTTGTTACAGTGGTAATATTAAGAGGCATTTAGTAGTAGGCTATGCGTTATAGCCTAAACCAAGGGTCTTCTTCAACCGGGGGTCCGCAGCGGCACTGCACTGCAGGGAGTCCGCCAATTAATGTTTGATTAAACATTAATCAAACAAAATTAAAACATGGGTAAAAAAAAAAAAACATCGCAAAGTCGGTTTTAAATAAGCACCCTGAAACGAAAGCATGGAAGAGCACCTTCAGTTGATACTGTAGCTGAAATAATATTATTGGCGAAACAGATTTAGCAAACGCTCCATAGTGTTTCTGAGTTTGAGAGATGCAGCCAATCAGAGATGTTTGTTGATCTCTTGAACGCAATGGCTAATCAGAAGTGTGTACACCGCAACGCCGAAGTTTTGTTCAGTGTTGAGTTATGCTCGCTCCCGTGAATCATTAACAAAGAACGACAAGATGTAAGTAAGAAATTCATTATGCAGTGTAGACAACCTCATTGATTTTAAAGCAACTTGTGAGATCGCGAAATGAGATGAGTGACAGTTTTTTGTGATTGTAAAGTAAACGCAGACTAATAGATTACTAGATAAATATTCCTATTACTATATATATATATATAAATAATTTTTTATCTGCAACTTTATATCCCTCACTAATTTCAGATACTCAGTGATTTTAATTGTCCATGTCACAGTACAATTAAAATGTTACGTTTTAGTAAACTTGAAGCTAAAGTTCAAGTAGCCTAAATGTTTATTTGTCCATCTGACAGTAAAATTAAAATGTGATTTTTTTAAAATAAACTTGTAGCTGAAGTTCAGGTAAATGTAGCCTAAATGCTTATCTGACTAGTAAAATTTAAATATATGACCCTGCAAATCCATAAAAATAATAGGCCTATGCAACAGCTGCAAACAACTAATGAATTGTTGTTGGTTTTTTTTATCTCAACTTGTTGTTTCTTATGATGCATAAATCTCAATTTTAACAATAAAAAGTAACATACATGTAGTGATGCATGTGCAACAACAATAATGTGCATAGTTCTGATCTGTTTTAATATAATATACATATAACATAATATAATTTATTCTTAATCATAATATGGTCAGTTTCTATTAATATATCAGGCTCTATGATTAATATGTAGCTCTGCTTGACACATTTTGTATCGGGGGTCTCTGCTCCATGCTTCTGTCGCCTATAGGGGTCCTTACCCTGCAAAACGTTGAAGACCCCTGGCCTAAACTATCGACCTTTGAATTTATGTATTGGTTTATTAAGTTTTAAGTGGCCTATGTAAATAATGAATTTTTTTTTTTTTTAAAGAAAATGTCAGACCTGAGATTACCCAAAACAAATTAATTACATTGTTGTGGAAACAGCAAATGCTTTTGAAGAGACAATGAATCCTTCTGGCCACAAGATGTCACCATTGTTCAATGTTTAAAAGATTTTGTGACAGGCAATGTCGCCTTTATTTGATTTCATTCACCCGCTTCTACGGTGAAACTGAGATTAGCTACTGAACTAATCGCTGTCAGATGCGTTAAACATGCATTCATACTGCACAAATTCGACATAAGCTACACATTCATGCTCTTTGATTAGACGTTAAGTTTGTATTTGTGTTGTGTGTTGAATTTAATTTAGTTTTTGTGCTAAATGTATTTTAAGATATTTCTAGCTGCTTTATCACGTTATTTGCTTTTGGCATGTACACAAAATGTAAAATTTTTAATGCTCAAAATAGGCCACTTTCATCACATATAGATTCTAGTCACATGTGAGGAGAATTTTGTATTTCATATGTATTTTTCCCCAGATCTCAGGACACGAAGTTGTCACATATAGTATTTAAATGATGCTCCTAAGAAGTATTCTCAAATTTTGATATGTATCGTTTAAATATTGCAGCTAAAACTAAAATGTTGGCCTATTTTTGAACATCGGTGATGATCAAAAAGAAAGTCACAACAATCAGATTATTTCAACGTTTAATCAACAGATTATTTTAATCAAAAATACTTTATAAATGAACACAACAAACGAAAGAAAGAGAATCAATCAAAGGCGCAGTTTGACATTGAAAGAATTTGCAGTTTAAACTTAGTGCAACTGAAATCTTACATTAGGCTATAGATAATACCGATTAATAACTGCGAGCCACATGTACAATAACAAATGAACAGATATTATATAAAAATATTTTCACAAATACCATTAAATATATCGAAAACTGTGAAACGTTTCACAAAAAAAAAAGAAAAGAAAAGAAAAGAAAAGCTCGTATGGGCGTAACAGATCCAAGCATTGCAGTAAACTCATTCTGACGGTATCTTTCTGCAAAAAAATGAACGAAAACAGCAGTTTCTTTCGAGTAAACCAAAATGTTTCTTTTAAGTTACGTTGCTTTTGGTTATTTTATTTTATTATTATTTTTATTTATCACCCATTAGAAACATGTAATCATCATCGATAAATAGTTGCGGATAATTTGGGGATAAAATCCAATCGAAAATTAACAGACGAATAGTTTTTGAAATATGATTTCTTTCTACGTAAAATCAATAAAAAAGTTTTCGTCGTAACATCTCGAAGACATTTGTTCGTGAATATGCTTTATAGAAAAGGAGGGCAAACAAGTGTGTTTTTGACTATCATCGAGTGAATATGTGAACTGTGATATTTTTTAAGATGAAATTTAAGATTCATTTTTAAATGAAACCATGCATGCTTGAAAACTGTTATCACAATGCAAAAAAAAAATCCGTGCAATAAACTTTAAGGCTCATAACTGCATCATCTTGAGCAGGCATTTATAATTTGTAACCCGCGTATTGGCCAGCAGTGGCTGCGACACTGGGTTTTTTTTTAAGCAATTTTTTCAAAAGAAAATTAACTTTTTTTACCAACATATTTCCTGGCTTTATTAAGGGCTCTGGCTTATGTAAGAAAGCGGAAAGAATGGACGACTTTTCCATCGTATTTGTACAGTCAGCTGCACAAGTAGGCTACTCGATATAGCCTAATTTACAAGAGCGACAATAATTAGTCATCACTGATAATTGAGGGTGACAAAAAATATAACGGGCTCTAACAAAGAAATCTACCATAAAACCAATATTTGTATAGCTACATGTTGTGAAAACTCTTCCTATTATCGTGCGTGTACTGGATCGTATTATCCCCCAAATAGAAATTTGTGAATAGCCTAACGTGTCTACAAAAAAAGAAATTGACTCAAGGCTCTTATATAATTTAAAGTAAGCAAGTATTTATTTATCCATCTATCAATAGCCTATGTGTTTACAGTTTGAAATCGTTATAGGCTATCAATCAGTTTGCTTTTGAGAGACCAGTCGTAGATTTAATGGAAGCTTTGAGAGAGAAAAACTAATACATAATCAAATCTAATTAAAATGATATATTATTTTGAATTTGTGAATGGTATGTTCACGTGGAATTATTAAATCGTTACATTTGTTTCTGCACGAGTTCGCGATAGAGCATTACACCACTAGATGTCACCACGTGTTACAGAAATGCATCACGGTGACTCAAATTTCATTTCCAACTTCGAAAGAACTTCTAGAGCAGTGGTCTCAAACTCAATTCCTGGAGGGCCACAGCTCTGCACAGTTTAGCTCCAACCCTAATCAAACACACCTGATCCAGCTAATCAAGGTCTTCGGGATTACTAGAAACTTCCAAGCAGGTGTGATTTGGAGCTGGTTGGAGCTAAACTCTGCAGAGCTGTGGCCCTCCAGGAATTGAGTTTGAGACCACTGTTCTAGAGAATGAATGGCTGAGGCAATATTTAGAAATGGCTTGAAATATCATTTAGAATATAGTTTGTTATTTCATTGCCTTACACCTTTAGAGGAATTGGCCACGAGGTTATGTGTTCTACACGGAAAATAAAACTGTAGCCTAACGGTTAAATAAGGGGAAGGGAAAAAACTAAAGTTGGTTAATATTATAAAATATTTGTAAATACCCACCGTTTCATCTTAATCCTCTGTTAATCGTAGCCTATGTGTGCACTGCATTATTCGGCAGAGCTAAACAATGGGGAAAAAAAACATGAATGTCTTTGTATTGAATTAACCTGGAAATCAGTCTCTCTCTCTCTCTCTCTCTCTCTCTCTCTCTAACATCCGTTTAACTCACTTAAACAACAAGTGTCTCCATATATTTATAGCCTAGCCTATTATATATATCTATAACGATAATATGTATTGTGAAAAGAACTACGAGAGAGAAAAAGGAGAGGAGAAAGTGAAATAAGCCGTATACGGCTCGCTTAGACGCTAGACATTTTAGAGTTTCTTGTTCTCATCATTTACACGCGTAATTAAAGAGGCTGGATTACATATTTTCTGATGCCATAAGTGACCATTAAGTTTGTTACATTTTTCCTTTGACTGTATGTTTATCTACATCGATAAGAAGAATTATATTAACTTTATCTTTTCAATCTAAAAACAGCTAGTCTTGTATATTTACAGGGACACGGGGGAAAAAACATCCTGTTCAAGATACGCAAAAACATTTATTTTTTAATGTTTAATCTATAGTGTAGGCTAACGGTTAAAATGTGTGAAAGAGTCAGTGTATACAAAAATCCTACAAATGCCAATTTCTCTCAGTGAAACGTCTATTTTTATGAGCCTCGAAAACAGTCTATTAAGACACTTTTGGATTAGGCTTTAAGGGTGTCATCAGGAATTGCCTGAAATCTCTTTTCATTCTCCGCGAAGTCATATGACTCTGCACGCTATGTTAACTTTATACTTACTATATCAGGCTACGAAGACCCCTCAAAGACAAAAAAACAAAATAATGCTTAGAATTTAATGCAAAATAACGTGTCATGAAAATCAATTAAGATGTGAAGATAACTAACAGAATTCATTCTCCAATTATACATAAATAGTTTTATATTATACAAGGTTTATATTATAATTCAGGACTTTATGGCGAGTCATTGTCTCCCATTATATTTATAGGAGCTGTGGGAAAGTTTGAAATCCTTTTCTCTATAGGTTTTTAATATGCATAAGTATGGTAATCGCGGTCCTGCTGTGTTGCAAACAGGCGCAGCAGATCATGTGCTACACAACCTCGGACCGTACGAAGTCGCCGAGATGAGGACATGCAGAGTCCAAGTAAGTCCTGTTTCTCTCGTTGACGTCTGTTCGCATAAAGAGATAAAGCAGGGCTGTCTGAAGTTTGTTAAAGGCGGAAAGCATGCGAGCATAGGACAGCACGTGTGTTGACCCATTGGGAGTAAATCTTTACGTTTGCCCGTCTGACCACTTCTATTGGGTGCCAGATCAGTTGAGCAAAGGTTCACAAGATGAAGATCAGACGCTTTACGATTAGGAACTATGAAGAAGAAATGCCTAAGATTGCGCAAAAAGTTCTGGAAAAGAGTCATGACTCGAAAGTGAATGCAATTATATTAATAGAAAGTGGATATTAGGCCTAATGATGACTTTAGCGGTAAGTTTTGACGACGATGATGTTTGTGTGAATGGCAAGTTCAAAGCAATAGATTTCGTTTGTCAATTAATTGTCTAATATTTGCCTCATGATTTCAGCTTTTCTTTTTTTAGACTACTAGCAGACTAATTGTCCATGTGGGTTAAGGCAGCTAAAGAGAACTAAAGACACGATGCTCATTTTTTAATTATTTTTGAATAATATTTTTGAATATTCATAAAAACTGTTCTCTAATAATAATGGGTTATTACTGTTAAGTGCATAGACATTTTGCATAGACGACTTCAGATTTTATGCAACTATTTCCTTTGTCTAGTAGCTAACTACAGTTGTAGTATCTTTTAACCGACTGTTTCTGAAGGAGAGATGCTTAAAATTAGTGATATGCTAATATAACACAATGCTCTTTGTGCCTTTTTGTTTGAGCCGCTCAGATGTCTTTGTTCGCTTATAATGCTTTTGAATATGTACAGTGGTGTTTTATAATAGTTATATCTATTGTCGGTTCCTAAATAAGGAATAAGAGAGAAAAAAGCGTTACGTATTGTTTAACCTTCTTTAAATAGATGAAATTATACAATAACAATGCTGTAACCTATAGGCTACAATATAAAATCAGCATCGCGAAGAGCCAAATCATTCTGCCAATTGCGAATGAAATAAAATGGAATCAAAACAACGCAGCAACCGTGAATGCAAAGGAAATTCAAATATACCTTTTAAATATTTATCAATATTAAAAATAATACACACGCAAGGACCAACTGCGGTGAAGATGTAAGAATGGCGGAGCAGGCGTCTCATTATGCATGATGGGCGACTTCCCTGGCATAGTCTCCGCTTCTTTGCTGCATATGGTCCAGTATTCACGGTCAAGAAAGGTTCTACCTTTCAATAAAAAAACAGCAACTTACATATTCTTCCGAAAAAGAAACGAGCCACCTCGAAGTCGATGAGGGGAAATTACTCCGACCGCTGAAAGAAAGGCTATGTTGGGGGATTTGCATATTTGATGCGCTAATTTCCCTGATGTATTTAAATATGGCTGCACGTAGCCGATAGGCTTGCTACGTCATTGGACGTGACCTCGTTGTAAAATTTAAACGTGAATTCGTTTTAGTCAAACACAAGTGCTAGCAATAATTGAGAACTGTGAAGGAATAAGAATTAGGCAACATTATTTGGAAGCGCTCAGAATCCCAAATTAAGAAATGTTGTGTTCAAAATCTGAACCTGATCATTAAATAAAAAATAAATAAATAAAAAACTTGCTATAATGACAATAACAACAACAATATAATGTAAAAATATGCATGGTGTGAAGTTAGTTTTTTGTTTGTTTTTGTTTTTTTTTTTTTGGGGGGGGGGGTATATTTTTTTTTTTTTTGGGGGGGGGGGTAATTAGGCTAAGGTTTGAAGCCCCCATTATTGAAGGTCAAAACAAAAGGTCTGGAGTGCATATTCTTTGTTACATATACGTGTTTCTATCTTAGAGTGGAAGTAAATCAGTGCGCGTATTTAAATGTAACGCTCGCGAACAGCAATCTCAGTCACCAGATGAGGTAACTATAGCAACAGTATGCAGTACTTTTTGTTAGGATCAACATTGGATAGGACACTGACAAAATATAATATTAGCTATTATTTCTTATTTCATTATAAATTTGCATATCAAAAGTATGATGTATTAGGCTATTTTAAAACTATTTTAGACAGTTGCACTAATTGTAGGCTAAGAAGCGCCAAAAGAGAACTGACTGTAGCCTATACTTCGCACACTGCAAATATTATTACGTGTAGCCTCTAGGCCTATACATTTATGGCAATGTTATATGAGGGCCTATCCTGTGCCTGCGTACGCGCACTCACACGTGAGGTTATGGTGGGTTTAAATTGCAAAAATAAATAAATGCACTTTTCTCCTTTCTCTTTTCTTCTTATTTTCCCCTTCACAAGCTATTACGTATCAGTGTGCAACTAATGATGTCCTCTCAGTGTCAGATGGCCATTGCGTTCCGTCAGTCAAAACGTGTTGGGCAGAAGCGCTCGGAGCAAATTCATTACCGCAGTCAATCCGTAACCTGGTCTGGGAACTTGGGGCTAGTCCACGCCAATAGAAGAACAATGCCTCCTCAGTTCAAGTCCAACAAAAGACCTGGCGAACTTGTTTGAATTTCAGAGCACGTCCTTTCTTTCACAGAGAGGACTGCCCCCTCCCGAACACCCTTCATGAAAAAAAAAAAGAAAGGGGGGGGAAACATGCCGACCTTCTCTGCTCAACAGTGCACTTTTCTATTTGGTGCTGCAGACAAATAGGTTATGGGAAACTTCTCAACCCCTCCTCTCTCTCCCCCCCTCACTGGCTCTCGCTTATACGGTAGCTGTCGTTCTCGTGCGCCTGGACTGTGCTCTTGTGAGAATCAGAGCCGCTGAGGCACGCGTAATGAACTGAGTATTAGCGGCAATTTTAAACCGAAAGCTCTCCGTGCACGCCGGCTTCTTACCTACAGCAGGAGTTGCATCTGGCCACGTCGACTTCGGCATAATTAAAAAAAATAATAAATAAATAACTTTGCTCAAGTGAGTACATCTGGAAACACTTCTCAATTTTTTTTATTTTTTATTTTTTTTTGTGGCCATTAAAGATAATACAGTGCTATTAGTTGCATTACAGACTTGATGATGCAAAATTGTACATTTGAGTTGTTTTTTTTTTTTTTATATATTACAACGTCATAGATGTTAACATACTTTGAACTGATCTAACACAAAGCACTTGTCTCAAGGCCAAAGTCTCGTGCACTGATGCCGCAAGTATAGTAGGTGACAAAGTCTCACAACTTGTCATTGTGCGCAACAGAATTTAATTTAGCATTTTGGAACAGAAAACCTGTTAGCTCTTCATATTGTGCTGTTAGACACTGATTTCGATTGCAGGTCATACATCAATCACACCTTTTATCTTCTATCACACAAATGCATATGAGATGTTATGTGAGCTGTCATTGCTTCTAATTTAAACACTGTAATGTTGATCAAACCTCTTTATGATTCTAGACAGAAGAAACACTATTTTTTGGTGGTGGTGTTGTTTCAGGAAAGACAAGCAACTTTTACATATAATGTAGATTTTTTTTCTTTATACATGATATGTGATAATGCTTAAACTAGCTTCATGTGAGCATGTGGGTCAAATGTTTTATTCACTATTATAGACTTTAGCAGTGCTCTGTGTTTGTTGTTTGTGTTTGGCTATGCAGAAGGTCTGAAGGAGAGATACGTTTTCCAAGAGTTCAGAAATGAACTCTTGCAGCAAGGGCCACTGGGCCAATGATTGAAACTGCTATGACATGATTCACCTAAACCAATTTAGTCAGAATTGACCATCATATCAGATTAAATACAAATGATGGCTGTCTTTTGACCTTGGATGTGGCCAAAATTAGAGACCTGTAAGGCAAGAGTTTAGTTATTTGTGCATGTTACTGTACAGGCCTACAGAACACCTTGTGTGCTGACATCCATATTGTGATGTGTTTCAGATAGTCTATTCAGTTAATGAGACAGTGTGAAAAATGAATTGAAGACACATTGTATAAGATCAGTGACAGATCATTTATTGAGTATGTTTTTCAATTTTACATATAAAAAAAAACATTTTCACATGCAGAGAGAGAGAGAGAGAGTTGTGAGAGTTGTGCTGTGAGTCCCACATTCTGAAACCCACACAAATGCTGTAAAGACAGCATCACGTTTTGATTGATAGGTTTGTTATCCACTTACTGCACTCAATTACAGTTCTCACGGCACATAAAGTATATAGGCATGAGTATGTAATCAATTTAAAAATAAGATTCTGATATCAGTGGTCAGAATATGAGGGCATCAACATATGCTAGCAATGGAAACCACCTTACTCTGTCTAGAGAGCAGCTGCTATACATACCTTTGCGTGCTGACTGTCAATGCCAGAGGAACGATCGCAAGAATCTTGTCGCCGGCGAGCATTTTCCATGTATTCAGACGCACTGAAATTTAAAATCCTCGTGAGCGAGGGTGATTGGCATTGCCTCTCAAGTATTTCCATCAAGTATGCTCGTCGTTGAAAATACGTTGTGCGAACAGCAAAAAGGATCGCCGCTTCAACCTGCACGAGGGATGCACACGCACTCTGGAGATTTCTAATGACATCATCATCATTATCATCATCATTATCATCATCTTCATCACCCTGCACTCCCGTGGTCCGAGACCTTTGACCTTCTCTGGCTGGTCCATATTTTGGTATTGGAAGCCCGTCCCCCTGCTTACCCCCTCCGCCCCCCCACTTCTCGAGATGTGGCCCTGTTCCCTCTCTCAGACCGCTGGCAGCAGCAACACAATCCTCCTCTCGTCTCTCTCATAGCAGCTCTCAGGGATCTGTGGCATTGCCGATCTCCTCCGTGCACGGACAGCCTGCCACCCCTCGGCCAAAAATAAGAGAGAGATCTCTCCATTCAGTGACGAAACAAACGCGATGTTATTTCCGTGTGCACTTTTTTTCTCTGGAATCGGATTTTTCCTTTGTATGATCTCGCTGCTGGTTCCGTGGGATATCTATCGCTGCTGCCACGATTTAATAGATCCAAAGGAGCCTTTTGTGAGATTGGGAGGTAATTTGCAA